TAATTAGATAGAGGAGAAGTTGGGGCACAGTACATATCTTGCATTTAGTGATTAAGCTACATATTGTCCGTTCATAAAAAATTTTCCGCCTGAAAAAAATGTCTTTTGACTTGCGAACTGCTTCAAATAGTGTCATCACTCTTGCCATTTTTGTTTTAGAAAGAGTTTGCAAAAGTTTAGCACCTGGCAGGATTCGAACGTGCGACCACCTGCTAGTTGTTGCTAGGCGCTTTCGCTCACTATATGCAGGAGCTCTACCTCTGATCTACCCGGGGCAACGACTAATGCTTTCTCTTTTTCCTTTATAGATCGTATAACCCCCGCCTAAGCGTTTTAAATGCTGCTTGGTTCAGTCCTATTAACTACGTCCTCCAAAAATTTTCAGAATTTTTAATTAAGAATTTCAAAAATTGTGGTCAACAATGTTTTAATTTTCTGAAAAATGCCTAATTTTTAGAGGTTTATCGACTATAACTTGAGAAATATTTGATGAAAATTTCGAAATTTCTGGAAAAGGTAGGCAAGGATGTCAAGGAAATTTGAGAAAATTTTTCATAAATTTAGATTTATCTTTAGTCTCTCCAAAACAGCCCAGCGCCAAGCGATCCCAAACCATATAAAGAGGATTTTCGGCAATTAAACGAATTCATAAATTGTTGGATTTTAATTAAGCTTGGACTAATTAGTTAATCAAGTTGATTAATATTACTTAATTGAAGTATAATTTAATTAGAATAAATTTAGAAAAATGTTTTTACAGGACGCTTCAGGTTGTATGAGTTATTTTTTGGAAGCTTGAACAATGTTCACAGCTAATTGACTAAGGCTAGTTTCAAAGCTAAATTACAAACACTATAAGACAGCATATACTCCTAGTGACATACTAATACCTTTATTCAGCCTACTAAAGTTCTCATTCTTTATTCCTAAACGGAACTGAACTCTGGCTACTTTAAATTTACATATTTGCTGAATAATTTCAGCATCCAAAAAATAAATCGTATGAACATACAAATCCTGTTTGACTGTTAAATTGAGTGGAATTAATAAAAACGAATCAATAAATTCAGTATATATTATGTAAAAAAGTGTAAAAGATTTTGGATTACAGAAAGCTGGAGGTTCACGTCCAAAGTCGAGAAGCTCATGAAAAATGATAGAATGATTTTTCGATTAATTAGCCATGAACGTTTTTCAGGCTTCCAAAAAATTGCACTGATGGATATGAAAAGCAGATCAAAGAAAAAAAATATTTCAGTATTTATCAAAATCTTCCTACAGAAAGATATCAAGAAGAGAGGAAATTTTGTCTCACCTTCTCTTCATTTTATTTTTTGTAGCAATGAATGAGTCATCCAAATATTTACATATACCGCGGAGCTGTAACTTGGTTTAAAATTGTCGAATCCGGTATGCCCTGGTATTGTTCGATTCAGCTCGTTTAGCTGCATCGAACTAGAGCTGGTTTATAGGTTGTTATTGATATTAAGTTGAAATAACTTACCCATGTTACAAAATGGAGGCATAAATTCTCAAATTGTGTTTTTTAGATGTTTCAGAACATAAGAAGAGATAGAAAAATATGGAAATTAATACAAATTTCATCTATTAAAATCCCTGTTCTGATTTTCAAATGGTGTTTTCTACTAAGCCATTAACTGAATCACGTTCTGCATCTAAAAATTATGCTGTCCACCCTGATCTGGGGTGGTTGCATTGCGTTTTTTGAATCTCTCGCCCACCCCTGCTGATTTTGCTATTAATTTATATTGTGAAAAATTTTTTAACGTTAGGAAATGTCCAAGACAGAAAATTCATGATTCAAAACCAAGACTTGATGCAAAATTGACGACAAGTACTCAAAACTAATTTCTTTATCAGTGCAAATACTTATTTCTTCCCATTATTTTGGCGCGAATAGATATAATCTCTTCTAGCCGTCATAAACTAAGTTTACTTAATTTTCTTAAAATTTGGTAATAAATCAGTAATTTCAATAAAACTAACCATCTGCCAAAGCATTGCTTTAGCATACAAAAATACACAACTCAGATGGCAGAGGCATTTTTTATTATCTAACTTATCTGTCCTGTTTAAATTAATGTTAAATAAAATATATTCTAAGGAGTATAACCAGTTCTTCGAAATTAGTGTTGGTCACGGTACCGTATTACGGCGGTATTTTTCGGTAATACCGCCGTATTTTTACCGAAATACCGATACCGAATACGGTACCGAACAATTTTAAAAAAATCGGTATTTTTTCAGTATCGGTATTTTACCGAAATACCGATACCGATACGGCCTCGATCAAAATACCGCGGTATTTTTCGGTATTTCGGTATTTTCCTGCGGCGCTAAAAATGGAAGTTTTTGGCTTAAGGATCTTCCAAAATTCTCAAAATTTTCGCCTGCGGCGCTGATGAAAACGTTTTGGCGAGTCGCATTAAGTTATCCCTTCCCTGGTTTAATACCAGGACTGAACGCAGTTGCGGAATGCGTATTGCGGGTCTCAATCAACCACTGATATCTCGATTAATCCATTTACCTTACACTAATAAAAGTGATATAGGTGGACGGGATATCACGGGTATCAAGGGGTAAGTAACTTGGAACTAGTTCCAGAACTGGAGCTGAAACTATGGAATTTCAAAAATGGAGTTCCGGAACTGGAACTACAAAAATTAAAAAGCTAGTTCTGGAACTGGAACTAGGTAGTTCCAGAGAAATTTTAGAACTTTGACATCACTGGAGGCAGCACGGCGCGAAAGTTCATATGATCTTTGACTACAGGCGATCACTTTTGAGTCCAGTAAATGCAATAATGTTAATTTTTCTGAACCAAACACTTCCATTGATTCATTACAAATACTAGATTCACTATTTATTCAATATTTATAAACTTATTTCACATTTATTGTATTAAATTCGTTCATTTGGTAAATTTTCAAAAAATACCGAAATACCGCGGTAATACCGACTATTTTTCGTCGGTATTTTTCGGTATCGGTATTTTACCGAAATACCGATACCGATACGGCCTCAATCAAAAATACCGCGGTATTTGCGGTATCGGTATTTTACCGAAAATACCGATACCGAAAAATCGTGTTTGACCAACACTATTCGAAATTTCAAATTTGCTCGTACTCGTACTCGTACTTCGTACCAGGTACGAGTACGAGTACGAATTTTGGTACGAGCTTCGAAGCACTGGTAATCAGTGATGTCAAAGTTCCAAAATTTCTCTGGAACTAGTTCCAGTTCCAGAACTAGGTTTTTAATTTTTGTAGTTCCAGTTCCAGTTCCGGAACTCCATTTTTGAAATTCCTTAGTTCCAGTTCTGGAACTAGTTCCAAGCTAGTTCTAGTTCCAAATTTTTGAATATGAAAGGATTTATCAATTTTAACAAATAAAGGCATAACACTACTCCCACAATTGATCCGTGTCAAGTGTTGAGCGTTGAGTGTCAAGTGTTTTGGTCCGTGCCTTTTTTATTTCAATGTAGGAAGGATACGTACTACTCGACACTCAACACTTGATAGTCGTCCGTGTCGATGTTGAGTGTCGAGTGGTTTCTCATGCAGGATGCCGCTGGATTAATCCCGTAATCCCGTTCTAAAATTTAGCCCGCGCGATTTCGGGGTTTTCACATAAAAAATTTTAACGGGGAGATCAGAGGATGTGAAGGGATTAATGGATTTAAAAGGATATCTGGTGATATTTTTGGTGATATCTGGGTTATAAGAGGACTATCAAAGGATTTAAGGAGATTGGAGGATAAACAGGAGGATTAAGAGGCCGAAAAAATCCACTTTTTCAGCGCCGCAGGCGAAAATTTTGAGAATTTGTAAGGTTGTAGGCCGAAAAAAATTCACCTTTTCAGCGCCGCAGGCGAAAATTTTTAGAATTTTGGAGCTCAAGCGGCCAGATTTCTTCCATACTCAGCGCGCTGCAGGTAATTTTCGAGGAAATTTTGTCAATAATATACCCCTCAAGAACTAGTTCCAGAACTATTTCCAAGCTAGTTCCAGACATTTACTAGTTCCGTAGTTCCAGTTCCAAGCTAGTTCCAGACATTTACTAGTTCCGTAGTTCCAGTTCCAAGCTAGTTCCAGACATTTACTAGTTCCGTAGTTCATGTTCCAAGCTAGTTCCAGGCATTTACTAGTTCCGTAGTTCTAGTTCCGGAACTGGAACTGGAACTTTGACATCACTGCTGGTAATAACTTTAAAGTAGAGTGAGTCATTCTACAATATAAGATGCTTCTTAAAATTGAAAATAAGTAATTAAATGATGGATTAATTGAAAATTGTCCGTAGTTTATTTAATTTAAATTTATTTATAACAAAAATAGCATAAAATTTTTGCTTAGATTTTTATTTCCTTTTTAATCCTTTTTTGCGGTTTTTACTGGATTTTTATATAAAAACTGGTTTGTTGCAAAACATGGAGGAATTGAAAAAAACATTTTTTGTGTGTTTGATTGCATGGATGTGCCGGTGATTCGATTCCTTTTCCTATTTTTGGTTTGGATTTAGTGTTCGAACTTTGGATATCCGTTACTTCCCGGGATCTACCGACTAGTCCATACTTTCTTCTAATTTTTTAGAATTAAATAGTTTCAAATGAGACCTAACACAACAAATATCTTACCTGCAAATTATTTTAAATTTAAAAATTTTTTTCGATTTTCGATTTCGAAGATTTTGAAAAATATTTTCGATTTTCGATTTGATATTTTTGGATTTTTTTCGATTTTCGATTTCCGATTTTCGAAGATTTTTTTGTTTCGAAACATCTCTGATGACAGCGCACTTCTCTCTTATACGACGACGTTTATTTGCGAGCATAGCGAGTGCCTTCTTTCCTCTCTCCCTCCACCTTCTCCCCCCTATTTAGTGTCAGCTGAACTTCGATTAAAATCCATGACGTTTCCTTCTCTATTTTAATTTTTATTTATTTTTTTAATTTTAAAAGTCTCAGATTTTTTAAAAAGTTTTTATTGATGACAGAGGGAGGTCGGAATTCTTATTTCCAATTTCCGAAGTTTTTCCTTCCGAATCCGAAAAAAAACTTTTAGCCAGTTTTAGCCAGTTCCGATTTCGGATTCTTCTGATTTCCCACACCTCTGACTGTTCCAACCCACCTCTGATTGGTGTTAGTTCCATTGGGTAAAGTTTAACTTCCACATTGAAAAATTCCGCTGAATTCAGGCTTAAATATTTATAAGTTGATTGGATATTTTCATTTCATCTTAACTGTTTACAATTAAATTAATTCAGCTTTCTGACGCAGCAAACATTCGCGATTTTTACTATATATTGCTAATTTCAAATTTTTAATTAATTAGACTGTAATTGTTAATGGTTTTAAATAATTTTTGTCTTTGCTTTTGTGTATTTTTGTAAGTCAAATTTATTTGATTAAATTTCTTTTTCAAAATTTTTTTCTGTGTTCAATACTGGGTTGGATTCCAGATAGGATTAAGTCTGGCTTTATTTTTTGTATGTTTATCGTCCTTGTATGTATTTATTTTGTGCCCGCACTCCAAGTCAACATGATTTTTGGGTCGAGTCTGAATAAAATAAGACTGGATTTTTGGAACAACACGACCCTCCAAAAAACAAATAATTTTAGAAATTTAGTCAAAAATTTCTGACTTTCAATAAAAATTATATAAAAATCACGAGCAACGTGTAATGCTTGATGCAACAGAATTTTTATGAAAAAATGATTTAAAATATTACTTATTTTCTTTATTTTTCTCTTTATGATATTGTTGTTCTTCTATTAGGGAACGGTTTCGGGTTATCGTGATTATTTTTTGGAAGCCAAATTCTTAACTTGGCTAAAATTTATTAACAAGCTATACTTAAGATAATTTATGTAATTATCTTGAGGACATGCTAAGCTTTTTAAAAACGATTTTAAATCTCTATTTATTGTCGTTTGAACTTCGATTAAAATCCATGATGTTTCTTTCTCTATTTAATTTTGCTATTTAAAGTCTCAGAATTTTCTTGTTTTTAAATGTTTTATGGGCAAATTGTCCATTAGGACCATTGAAAACTTCCGCTAAATTCAGACGCGTATTTAGATGTAAGCTGATTGGAATATGCTCCATGTTAAATTTTAATTATTTCTTCTCTATAATTTAATTTTGTATTTTAATCTTCAACGAAATTGTCCAATTGTCCACGATATTTTTTGGAAGCTGATTTTATCAGCTAACCTCGAATTAAAATGTTTATTTCAATTGCAAAATGATTTTAGAAAAAGCTCGCGTTTCCATAGGGTATTGAATTTCCACTTCTGATTTTTAATTTCAAATTTTTAACTTAAATAGACTAGATGTTAATAGGTATTAAATAATATTGTTCCTAAATGTATGTATTGGCTGTATTTTTGGAAGTAATCGTTAGTTGGCTAAATTTGTTTTTCAAATTTTAAGGTGTCCAAGACTTTGAATAGGATTCCGGATAGGAGAAAGTCTAATTTTATAGTAACACGACCCTCTAATAGAAATTTTATTCAAAAGATTTTTGACTCAATAAAATTAATAAGCAGTTATGAAAAAATTTTGACTCTCTAAGATTTAATCGTCCCCCTTAAAGATAAATAAAACAAAAATTTTAATGAACTAAATTTAAATAAATATTAATTTTGCCAATTTATTTCCTTTCATAAGATTCCCAGAAATATCAATTATTTTCTTTATTTTTTTATTTATTATATTATTGATCGCTTCGATATGATTGGTGTTGGAAAAGGTGTCAATTATTTTTGGGAGCCAAACTCGTGATTTGGTTAAAATCTAGTGGAGGCGTAATAAAGAAATTCTGAATTTTAAATACAGTAGAAAAAAATAGGGGCAAACGCAATTGAAATGAAAATCACCTATTGTTCACCTAAAAGTCGATTTCAGGAAAAATTTTTTGTTTGATTAAATACTCCATTTATTTTCTTTGCTGGATCTTTTTAAGCTTTGAAATTTAAGTGTATGGAATATTCTCTCCGTGTTAATTATATAATTATTGTGTAAATTAAATTTTACCTTCAAATCGTCTGTTACGTATTGTCTCGGCGTTGGGAATTTCTATATTTTTGGAAACCGATATTATCGGCTAAATTTTAAACTTTTATTGATCTTCAATTAGTAAATACATTATCCTAGATATTTTGAGAAATCCCTTTCATAAAAAACCTGGCCCAATTTAAACTACTTAGGCAAGTTATAAAATTCATTAATTGCTATCTTTTTCATTTCAACATTTATCTTTAAAACTAAAAGGATTTTCTAATAAAAATTTCAATCCAATCGGACCTCAATAACTTAGATAAAATTAAATAAAAATTTCTGGTGACTCTATAATCATGAAATACTCTTATTTTCATACCGCGTACTTTATTTACGAACAAGCTAAATATTTGAAATGTTTATGATTTTCTAGTGCCTAAATCACCAAAAATTGATCTTTGGAAATTGATACTTTTATCAAGCATGAATACGAAGAAGGATTCGAAAATAGCTGCATTTAAAAATAAAAGAGTCGTCAGATGCTTTTCTCAATACGCATGTGTTATACCGAACAAGCTAGCGTTCTATTTCAATATATCTTAAACCCGGTCTAGTAAGCGTTTTCAATCCTTGTCAGCTCTATCTCTATTCTTTCGTTTCTTTCTTCTCTTGAATCTTTTTAAGCTTTGAAATGTAAGTGTACATATGTATGGAATATTCTCTCCATGTTAATTATATAATTATTGTGTATATTAAACTTTATCTTCAAATCGTCTGCTTGTCGTTATACGTCGTTGTGATGGTTTATATTTTTGGAAACCGATATTATCGGCTAAATTCTTACTTTTTTTTATTTGGTTTTTAAGTTTTAAATAAATTTTCCTTCATATTTTGAGAAATTTATTTTATAAAAACATGGCCCTATTTAAACTAATCAGGTGTTAAATGTTTATTGGCTTTTCTTCTTCATTTCCATTTATTTTTAAAGCTAAAAGAAGTTTTTGATAAAAATTTCAATCCAACCGGACCTCAATAACCTTAATAAAATTAAAGAAAATTTCTTTTTACTCTATAATTATGAAATACTCTTATTCATCTCATACCGCGTACTTATTAAATTTACTAATAAGCAAAATACATATCTAAAATTTTTACGATTTTTTAATGAATAAGTTACCAGAATTTGATTATTAAAAAATGAAATTTTTTATACCAGATATGTATCCAGCTATTTTCAAGTGTATCAGATATGTACTTAAAAATAGCTGGGTTTTAAAATACGAAAGTTGAAGCCAGAAATTTTTATTTAGTGTTATCAAAGTTATTAAGGTTTATCGCTACATGCCTTAGCTCACCACGCGCTATCTTTATATATAGGTGTTAAATTTTTTGGAAGCAATGCTAGCTAGATCATTTTAATTAGTCTTATGTTAATGATAGCTATTAAAATGCCAGGGATTTTTGTTTTATCCTTTTTTACGCTAATAGACATCAATTTTTGGTTGATGTGGCGCTGAAGACAATTTTCTATTTTGCCCGAAGTATCCCCGAAACCACGAATTTTCCACAACCCAAAATTATTTCCAATTTTCTGGAATCTGCATGACTTATTTTCCCAGTAATGTATTAGGTTTTTATTTAATTTTTAAATAGTAACAATTAATCTAAAAGTTTTGTGACAAAAAGGTCCTCCTATTATCTGTAGACTATTAATTTAAATGTAACTGACTGTAATTTTTTGGAAGCAATGCTATATCATTGCTAACCACCTAATCTCAAGTTAATTTTTTTCTTAGAAAGGATTGGGCAGTAGAACGGTTATATTAGAACATTTATTCTTATCCCGTATTTTTTCTAATTATATACTCAGGCATTCTATTCTCATTCTTTAAAGGGTAATTTTTTGAGGAAATGCGCTAATACGAAGTATTATCTATTTTTAATAATGCCTTATTTTTAAACAATGTTAAGTAGTCTATTCTTTTATTGATAAAAAGGCAGGTTATAGAAGATTATTTTGGGGTCCCTATTCATCTACGGTAAATTTTTTGGAAGCAATGCTAGATCATTGTTAATTAGTCTTGTGGTAATAATAGCTAATAAAATGTCAGGATTTTAATTTTATCTTTTTTTACATAAAGAGAGATAGATTTGTGAGGAAACCAGAAATACACTTTTATTGCTGGTACCTTCAAACACCCTTACAGGTGCACCACCGAATGCTTTCACCTTTTCTTTTGTTAAATGCTTAGTAGTAAATGTTTCAAATGATAGCTAACTCTTGTTCCTTACAATAAATTGTTTGGCAACACAGCTTTGGCAAGTTACCGTGGCTAAGAGTAATCGACTAGTTTTAACAGAATCTCTTGGATAGTAATGGATAATTTTACAAATTAGAGTTGAGAGAGAGATTGATCATAACTCAGAATAATGTTGTCGAAACACATTAATTTTGACATCATTCGACTCAGCTTGAAGAGCCGCGTCAGAATAGCACTAGCCAAATAGTTTCGAATTTTTACCCCGAATTCGATTTGGTCGAATTCGGGGTTCGAAATAAACAAATTCTAAGCTCAGATTCAGACTCAGCACACTTGATTACCTACTGCAAGCCTTAAAACTAACGAAAGAGCACTTTTTTAGCATTTTTTCCTAGGGACCAATGATCTTAAGGATTACTAAATTTTTTTAACGCAGAAAACTTCTGTAACTTTTTTTTTCACTTTTTTATGTACACATTTTCCTTCATATTTTGACCATTTACTTTTTTTAAAAATCCCTTTCATAAGATTCCCAAAAATATTAATTATTTTCTTCATTTTTCTATTTATCAAATTGTTGATCGCTTCGATAATTACTAGTAGCTCGCGTATCGTTTTCGCTTATTTTTTGGTAGCCAAACTCTGTATTTGGCTAAAATATATTAGAAGCGTATTCAGGAAAAAATTCTGAATTTTAAATAATTCAAGTAATCCATCTCGACACGCAAGGAAAAATAATAACAACTATTAAGGGAACTATAACTCTTTCCTTATTTCTTCTGCTGAATCTTTTTTAAGCTTTAAAATGTATGTACATATATGGAATATCATCTCCATGTTAATTAATTATATACATAATTATTGTGTATATTAAACTTTATCTTCAAATCTTCTGTTGCGTGGTTTTGTGTAGGTTCGGAGGTATGTATTTTTGGAAACCGATAAAATCGGTTAAATTTTAAACTTTTTTTATCTGGTTTACAAATTTTAAATAGTAAATTCGCCTATATATTTTGAGTAATTCCTTTCATAAATAATCTGGCCCTATTTAAACTAATCGTTTTATGACTAGAGACCGGACCGGTACGATATATCGAAAAAAAGAGTTTTTTGATAAAAATTTCAATACCACGACCTAAAACAAATAACTAAAACAAATAATTATAGCAATTTAGTAAAAAGTTTCTGACTTCCAAGAAATAAAATAAAATGCACAAGAAACGTGTAATGCTTGATGAAAACAAATCTTTATGAAAAAATGGCTTGAAATATTAATTATTTTCTTTATTTTTCTATTTATGTATGAATGTATTGTTGCCCCTATTAACTGAAGTGCTTCTATTTCCTCGATTATTTTTGGAAGCCAAACTCTTGATTTGG